AAAAGATAGACTCTGGCATCAAAGAAGTCTAGAAGAACACATGGGAACGAATAATGGAGAAAGTGTTTGTGAATAATGGATAGGAAAAGTAAATCAATGATCATTGAGTTTACAGATAGTGCAATTTTCGATATTCCACAAACGAGTTAACTAGTAAAAACAAGTCCAAGAGATTTAGTTAAAGTATAACATGAATTGAACATTAAAAAATAGAAACAATGCTTTATACACATACAACTAAACTGAAATACAGGTGCAGTTATAAATTAAACCCGTTAAACAGATTCACGACTCTCAATGCTAGACTATGTGAAACCCTACAAACACAAAAATTATTTACAAAACTAGACTGCAATAGCTTGAAAACGGATTGATGATTATTGAAAACCACGAGCACATTATTTTTGTATAGCCACACTCATAAAATCGCCCCATTCAAGCAAACCTGCATTATAAGTGACTAATTTGTCATACTGTAGGGTTTTATTGAATAAGATTACTAATAACTGGCATTATTCGATAACAAAAGTTCAGGATAACTCAGGTACCTAGGCTTGCTGCTACGAGGGACTAAGAAAGTATGTTTGGTTTTATTTATGAAATTCGTGCGTTTTCATGTTAATTTGATATTCCTACATGCCTATGTGGATCCAGGAAAAATAAATAAACTACATATATTTTCGAGTTTTTCCCAAAAACAAGAACAATGTGGGAAGTGGCGTGTTCTGTTTCGAACTTATAATATTTTTGTAACCAATATACATTGGATAGGAGTACGCTGCATTATTCTATATTTTAAGGTGAGCTAAATACTAGAAAATCAAAGCCCGTTTTCTCATGGCTGAATCGGGCTGGTTCGCAAACGCACCCGAAGTTTATGTTGATTTATAAAAGAATTTTAGCGGCTTCTGGAGACCGAAAAAGCACAGTGGTCTTACCTTGATGAATAACCTAGTAACTATGCTCCTTGAGGAAGGGTCGCTAGTTAAGTATTTGACGATGTCATTTTATAGCTAAAAAATGCGGCACTCAGGTCAACGCTTGTTTTCATTAATAAAATCGGTCAACTAATGTCTGTAAAGTCCATATTATCGTTTTCACGGAGCTTAGCATGTTTACTCCATTCAATGTAAATATATGTAAACAAAATAAACGTAGTATAATTTGTCTGGGTAGCCGAGTGGTCAAAATGCTCGGCTTCAAATCTGAAGATCGCTGGTTCGATTCTATGCGAGATTGTTTCCAGACTTAGGTGGCATTTGGGCTATCAATAATGCAATCTAACAAAAAAGTCAATGTTAGTAACAAAACCTGGGTTTGAAACGTTCCCTAACAAAAAAAGTAAATAAATGCAGCAGACGTAGATGTACAAGAAATAGCTAAAAAATAAAGAAATAATGTTTTAGTTTTTGAACTAGCTAGTAATACTAATTACAATCAACATCCGCTTCAAATCGCAAAATGCAAGAAATCTTAAATACTTCCGCAGAAGAACTATCACTTGGGTTTACTGTCAAAAGAATGTTGGTTATCTCAACAACTTTTTAGTTTTGAGTGCAACAGTTTTCCTTATTGATGTGTATTTTATGTCGCATTACTTATTTACCCCCAGAAGTTACAGCAGGTAGACAAAATGTGAAATTAACGCTGGACTAGAAGTGTATTAGGTATTTCGGTTATAACGATCGCACCAGGTTAGGTTTGGTTAGTTTAAGTTAAGTAGCTAAACATTTGAAATTAAAGTAAATAATGCATGATTAATGTACATAATTTTTGTAACTAACAAAAAACCTGGTGTTTTCGTTATAGCGGAAAAGAATCGTTTACTGTGGTTCAATTTATCCGTGACTGATCCTAATACTTGTGGACATAATCAAAGTTTAATTTTCTAAAATTGTCCATTGTTCTATAACATATTTTAACATGGTAAATATATAAATAGTTGAAAGTGAAAAAATGTTTAACTATATACATTTTTACATGCGATTACGGGAATCTTGACAGGGGAAATCATAGCCTGAAGGGCAAATCCGGGCAATGGACGGCTGGATCCGACAACGTGATTGTAGACTGCAATATTAACATGGCAATATAGGGGCAGATGTTGCCAGCTGCCATTGGCTGAATACGATATGACGTCATCAGACCGCTAGAGCTGCATCAACCTAACTGCAATCTCTTTTTGTAACTAATGCATCTCATTTATGCCATATCACGTACTCTATGTTTATATATTCAAAATACAGTGTCAAATATTAGGTCAGTCTGATTGTGTGAGTTATTTATTTGTTCCGATTTACGTTTCCCTTTTTTAGTATAACAAAACAATAATGAAAAATCAGGTTGGACAATTGCTAAACTTACAATAAATAAATTTGAGTGCAAATGTATGCTATTTATATTAACAAAATAAAACGTAATACCTTAGTATCGCTAATTCACAGTCAAAAATAAAATAACAGTTTGAAACATAGCACATATCGAGTGTCTAGAATAAATAGTTAATAGAATAATATAATAGTTACTAGTGTTTGTGAATACTTGATACAGAACTGTCATATTATCATCATTGTAAACCCATATTTGTAGCTGGGAGCATAATGACGGTTTGTAACCTCTATTTTTCAGTCTTTGCACGAAATCAAGAAGGAGTGGGATTCTCTTGAGCTAAGAGGCAACATCCATCGCTATAACATGTAGGAAAAATTATCTTAATTTACCACATGTTAGGTTAAGTAAGGTTCAGATGTCAAATGATGTTCTTAGTTACAAGTTTTTTTAATAAACTTCCTTTTTAAGCTCGGAACCTGCCAGACCCAAAATTCAGGAAATGGGTTGAAGGGTTCCTTTTGTCAAGCCCTTTGTACAAGGTTAAAGAATTTTTTATCTGAAATATGGAATATGTTAGTAGATTTTTTTGTTTTAAACCGAGTGTTAAGTGCCATTTTGTTTCTCTGCATAGAGAGTTTCAGAAAATTGTTTTATATCGGTAAGAAACCTTGTACTTTTCTCTTATTTTAGTTGTGATTGTACTGACGCTTTCTAGTAATGTAACCCTACATTTTGTGGAAATAAAAATTCTTGATTCTTGATTCTTATTGTGTTAGTATTTAGGAATAAAATTACTTTATTTTAAAATTAGTTTGTTGGTTATAAGTAATTGATAAGCTCTTGGTCTCAAAATAGAAATCGACCAATTTACTCTTTGAGAATGATGTTGTAAGCCTATTTTACAAGTATATTGAGTAGTTTTATGTTTGTTTATGTAAATAAGTCACTGATTAGGCGACGAAGTAATGATATATCAGACATATAGCCTACATATACATTAGTGAATATGTTTTAAATCCCTCTTTAGGGCTAGAATCGCCTTTTTATACGTAACAGTGTATTTGTCTTAGAATTACATAATTGTTTTAAATATATCGAAGAAAATAAATTATGTGCAAATTATATGATGCTTTTATTTTAGGTCGTTTTAAGTCTTTTAACATATTCCCTGCACTAATATTTATTTTTCGCATCCTAAAAGTGTATACAGTAACATAAACAGTATATATTTCTTGATTTTAAAGCCTTATATTCATGTTTATGTACCAAAATACAAATTGAAAATATGATTAGTTCCTTCAGTAAAACCATTGACTATTGGAGACTGAAGGTAAAACCAAAAAGAAAAAGTCTGATTAATTAGGATATTGCTTGAAAATTAATTTGACAAGAAATATCACATGTTGGTTATGTTTGTGAAAATTGAATTCCATCTAGGTACTTATAATGAAACCTAAAGCGAATTGAGCCATTTTATTTGCAGTGCATCATATCAATATTTAGTGGCAATCGATTTTGTATATATAAATAGCATTTCATAACTACTATTGTTAAAAAATTTAATAAAAACCAATAACTGCGAGTTAAAATCGTTCAACTCCAAATTGAATAAGCAATTTAAAATAATTATTCCAATGTAAAAGAGTTGCAGAACAATTTAACAATTTAAGTATGTTAAATTAAATTAAATACATAAGTAATCCCCTAAATTAAAATAACAATTTCAATTAGTTCCAAAAACATTTTACAAATAAATTATATAACTCGTATTGGCCTAAACTAAAAGTAAAAATTGCCTATCGCTAATTAAACCATAAAAAACATAAATATAATTTGAACATTTGATTGAAACATAGTTTTAATCAAAAATACTTTAATTTACTTTTTCCAAAAATAAACAAGGCATCAATTATCATGATAGCTCATCGATCTTCTCGTTTGTAATCGAATATTTCAGTAACATAAAAAATTCCTCACTCAATCATCTGTGATTGCAAATTTCTCTCGTTTTGGAATATTTTTAAATTGAACTGACAGTGTCCTATATTATTTTTAGTTAACTATAACAGATCTAATGTTGTGATTTACAGTGGCCATAAAATATGACTTTTTCAATTGATTTACTCCGTGCACATACTAAACCTAATTACATTATATTTTCCCTTGTTATATTTCAAACGTTGTTACCGAGTTGAATTATGTTACACACTGAAACATAAAACGGTTTTCAACAAATATATATTTTATACGACCATTAACCGTGCAAGTATTGTTCTAATGCTAAGCTAACACCAGACCTCTGGAGATGTCTATTTTTAGCATCTGGATGGGTCCACTTAGCCCATTCATGGGGTGCAAAGTGAAACCCTTAGACTCGCCCCTACGTATTAAATAAACACTGAGTGACTGTAGAAATGTTGACTCGCAATTTAAATACTCTCTTTGCAAAGATAAATCTTTAATAAAATATAATAGGGTTTGTTCGGCTTCCAAAGGTAAGGTAGCGTAAAGTATACTTATTTTAATCATCCAAAAGTAGTCCAATCCACAAAACACTACTCAATTCACCCCTTCAATTTACCCTTTCAACTCACATATTTTAACCACCTCAAATGGACACCGCGTTCACATAACCTCAAATGTGAATCAATACTGCAGATCAGACTTACCTAGACTCGCCTATGGAGCGTTACTTGCCTTACACTCTCACATACACCCTGTAACGCGTCACTCGCGTAACGCGCAACGCGTAACGCGTAACGCACACACAGTACCCGGGACGACGCGGCGTAAGGGTCGGCGTCTCTTACAACACTGGAGTCTGGGCCTAGCATGGACCAGGGGGTGGTCGGGATGCCTCCCTTCATGGCCTACTTACCGCCTCCATGTTGTCAATTTATTTGCGGTTATTTCTGATGATTCCTCCACTTCAACGTGCATCGATCATACCTGACTCGAGCCTTAGATTAATGATATTGTCAATAACAAGTGTGTTTTCGTGTTCGGGTTCTTACCCGAACGGGAAAGTGGTTTGCGAGATTAATTGTTCTTGTAAGTGGTGCGTTGCGAGTGTTTGGTATTTTGCTTGAAGTTTTTTGGTATTTGATAGCTTTGGTAACGTTTAAGCATAGTGTAAACTGTTAAATAGAATTTGATGTATAAAGTAACATTAATAAAACACTCTTTGGCGATACGTATAAAATTGAATAAACCCCTTTTTTGAATGTAGACTGCTTAAAATAGAGTTAGAACGACGAGCCAATTGTAAATAATAACTGTGACTTTAATCAACGATTAAGAATTATACATTGTGTTGTTGTGGATTACTTCAACCCAATCAGTTACAAGTACTCATTTTATTCCTATGTAAATTCTTTATATTTTTTATCTTGGCTAAAAGATAGTTTGTGCGATTGGTGTAATTTAAAGTTAAGTAGTTATATTATTGGACCGTAGGACTGTGCATGAATAAATTATCCCCCGTATATAAACGCAAATCAAATCTATGAGTTTGCAACGGATCCAAACAATTGTTGAAATTCAGGGTTTTCTATCAAACTAATTTAACTAAATATACAGGTGAAATTACAAATCCATTTCTTTGGTGAAAAGCTAGCATTATATTCCGTTACAAATTCCAGAATAAAAATTGCACTTATAGAAGAATAATAAACTAGTTTTTTTACTGGAATCTTTCCAAAATATCAAACGAAAATCGTTATACCAATATATATTCAAGGGATGTACACCAATACCAATATTTCTTTGCTAGAGGCTGCAAGTATCATATCAGTGTACGTTGGGTATTGGATGTTGGATGTTGGCTGGACGTTTCAACATCAATAGGTCTGCGGTTTCAAGTGATTGACGGGCAATGTTGAATACATCCAGGGTGATTTAATCGTGGCATTGGCTGTGGGTGGGGTTTGGCAAGAGGGATTCTTGCAGATCCCCTACACGTAAAACACTTTGTCAAAATTAAAAAAACATCTATTTAGCTGTTTTAGTATGCTAGGAATTTGCTCCCTCCAATGGTTGTTGAGGCTATGGCAGAGCGAAGCTAATTTGGTTTTAAATAAAATTATGTAGTAATTTTACTTTTCTTAGTAAAAGAAAACTATGAAAAAAAGATCAAGACCGTAAGGATAAGATAAACTAACCATCAGTGATACCTTCTATACCGTACCCTTCATACTGATTTAAATCGTTGCATAGGCCTACAGTGCAATAATGTGCACATATTTTTTTGTATTTTACATACATACATACCAACAACTAGTCTATAAAAGGCTGAGTAAGTATTTGATTGTAATGGCAAGTTATAAAATGTTTAATTAATTGGTTCCATTTTTATCGAAATAGAACATTTTTTTAATAAATCTCAAAATATTATCAACATGAGTTAATCGTCTTATATAGGGTGATTACCGAGAAACGCATGTTTTTCAAATAACTAGTATTCAGGCAATTCAAAGCAAAAAATATATTTATGAGTGGAAAAACAGTGTACACAATATGCAATTTCAGAATAAAATTACTTACATTTTAGTGTTTAAAAATTACATATCTAAGGTGGTCGCCTTCTGCTTTGATACAGTGTTGAAGGTGTTCCTTAAAACTTGCTACTAACATATCTCTAGGAGTGGTTTTGATTTCCTGGCGAATAGCTTCTTTAAGTTCCTGTAATGTTTGTGGTTTGTTTATGTAAATTCTAGATAAAAAAAAACCATTGAAAGATATCGGGAACTGCAAGATCCGGTGAGCGAGAAGGCCAAGTGACATCACCAAAACCTGTGATAACTCTTGTAGGGGATGTTCGAAGAAGGAATTCCATACCAAGCAGAAGGCGACCATCTTAGAGATGTAATTTTTTAAAACTAAATTGTAAGTAATTTTATTCTAAAACTGCATATTGTGTACAGTGTTTTTCCACTAGTAAATATAACTTTTTATCTGAATTGCCTGAATACTCGTTATTTGAAAAACATACGTTTCTCGGTAATCACCCTATATATCATTTTCCCAGCATGGTTCTAACAAAACAAGCGACACTCACTTTACTATTGACACCTTACTCAGGGGAAATCGACTACGAGACAGGTTTTAGAAAAGCAATAGTCCATATTATTTTACACTATTGCTACCTATTATGAAATCAAATATTTATTATACAACATAAATGTTTGAAAATATAACTCCGTTTTTCTCTAAATGTTAAATGGTGATGTACAAAACGTACTAAATTATAAACGTAAACCAATTTAGTATTTATCACTATTCGGGTTACGTACAAAACAAGGCTCATAAACTGAAATTGTAGATTGGATTAACCATAAAAAGCGATAAAACTAATGACGGCAAACAGCGTGAGCCGGTGGAATGGCAAATTCATTTCAATTAAGCTCACTTGTGTTTATTTATTTAATTAACCATCTGTGCGATACATTCTCTTACATCAGTTCTCTAGTTAATCTAGTTAGTCTTCTAAAAAAATCGCACATCATGAATATCAACTCAAAAATAGATTACAAATCATGTATTAAAAATGTTATTGATTATATTACATTTCACTTGTCAATAATTAACATTCATAAAAGCATTGCTACTAGCGAAAGATTAGCTTTAACTAGATTATTTTATTTTATTTATTTTTAAATTATAAATTTGACAAATTCAAAAAAGTTCAAGTTTAAATGACCTTACAGTATAGAAAGGTGTTTATTTCATACGTGATTCAATCAGTTAAAATTCAATATCACCTGAATATCGTTCAACAAGTTTAACAGTGATTGAAACTACAATAGTACACTTATGATATTTCCCAATTGTATTTTGTTTGGCTGACTTGCTCTCATTACTCTCAAATTCTTTCAAATAGTAAAATTTTTTTTATGGAGGGATAGTCATAATATTTATTTTATATGGGGAGTGAGCTGGTCTTGTGGTAGAGCGCAAACCTTGGTCTCCAATGTTCTCGGTTCAAATCCCTCCAATCACCAATAGCCTTTACCATATTGGGGAAAATGTGTGAAACGGTCCTGGAATATGAAGGCGACATAATAATCAGCTGTATACATTGTTAGCTTTTTCTACCAAAGAAAGTTTATATATGCCAACAGTACATATAGTAAAAAGTGGTGATTATTTGAATCCCTTAGCAGAAAATTCGTCTAAATATATTTACCGAACAAAGTACAACATGAAAATACTGTGTTAAATTAATGCAATATTCTCCACGATGCTGAAAAAAACTCCAATCTAAATTTAGCAGCGATGTTGATCGACAAAACAGCGATGTGGCAGTGCAGTGGGATGAGGTTACAAGACGTGACGCAGGATGTAGTGAATAAATAATGGAGGCTGTGGCGATGACGCGCCTGCGCGGGTGGATCGATGCTGGACCAGCTGACGCCGCCATCTTGCGCGGGAAACTCACCAGCTGATCACGCCTCTTCGTTTTGGAGGTTAGGGTTGCCATATTGTGTATTTTATTCTATCGTAAATTTTAACATTATATAGGATGTTTTTCCACTCTACGAAAGAAAATTTCGTACAGAGTAAATAAATTTTAAAAAAATACAACTTAAGTACATTTTTTCTCTATTAAAAAGTAAAAAGTTAATAAAAATTTTAGAAAATAATTTAATGAATTATTTGAAAAATATAAGAAAATATAATAATTATTTCAGGGTGCTCAGTTATTATATTTACATTTATGCCAGCTTGATCCCTTATGGTTTAGTTACTTCTTACATTTAAGAATATAATACATAAAAATACAATTTCCATAAATACAATAATTTATACTGGAATATTATTAAGGTAGGTTTCAGTTTCGCAGGCTACAAATATAACTATAATGAAATTTACACTCTTATGCGAATGAAATTTAAAAAAAATACCTAAGTAAAAAAATGTTTTGTTATTCATTTCTAACTCGTTTACTTTTTCGTTTCTGAGGTAATCTTGAAAAAAATTGTATGCGCTTGTAAATGAAGATACGTTATTGTTAGTTACTTATTTACTTTACCAACCAAAAGTGTACAATTTCGATATTTAACACTCAAGTCATGAGACTTGAATGGCCACAATTCTTTACATTTACAAACTTATTATCTAAGCTATTAACAAGTTCATTAATATTAATACATAGTAAATATCTAAAAAATATATTAGAATACATATTATAATTATTAGAACATATATTAAGGATTTTAAGGATTTATTTTGTGTGTTTTCTACGCCGATTGTTTTTTATTTTTTTTAGGGGACAGCCCAGCCCCCGGTCTTTTCACTACTCTAACGACGACCTTTTAGTTAGATAGCATCATTAATTCATATCCCAATGACTTACTGGGCCTGGGAGATCACGTTTGGAATCGAGCCAGCGATCTTCAGATTTGAAGGGGAACACTATAACCACTCGACATTAAAATTGTGTCTTGTGTAATAACTATGACTTTTGAATATGCTAATATAATACATTTACAATCACATAGGCCTAAGTTTATAAATAATTTAGGGGATTTTTATTGGCATTTTAGTTTCTATACACCTTCCTTCCTGATTTTAATATTTAGTGATTTTATATCACAGCATAAAACTTTGTAGCATTTCCAAATTGAAACAATGCCAGAGGTGGACTTGTTACTTTTAATTTTACGCAGGAAGAGTTTTGTCGAACGCACAGAGAAACTTGATCAAGGATTAGCTTCTCCCGCGTTAAGAGTTTGCCTTGTTAGGAACTGGAGGGAAAATTGATTCAGCTCCTGTGACA